CTTGTAACTGTAATCAGTGGATTTGTATGTTTCACCCAGCTACTGAAAGTTGAGGAGACTTCAATTTTGTTTTATATCATTTTAATTTGGAATTCACAAGTAGTGAAATAAAATAAAGTTAAGATTTTACTCTTCATGTGTGTTTGTTGCTCTCAATGTCAATTTAAGCTTAAAGCAATGACTCGCACCACAAATTTAAGGTATTGTTTTGGGGATGATTGTTTTCTCACAGATATTTAATTAGTTAGAATGACCATTCGAGAGTTATAACCTTTAGTCAAACTTTATATGCATTAAAAATAATAATAATAATAATAAAATGCGAAAATTTTGACTCCCATGGGATAAAAGTGGACCAAGATATTTGTTTTTAAATTTTGAAGTCTAGGGGTCATACACAGATTGGAGGATGAAATATTTAAATTTGTAAGTAGCTAAAAATGAAATCAGTTTAGGTAGGGATTTCTGATGTGATTAAATAATAAATATTTCCATGCAGACTTTCATTAAACATTGTGTATGTGTAATCATATTTTAAGCACAGAATCTTAGAGTTTGTGTTTTAAAAAACAGTAGCAGGCTTCAGTATTAGTGCATAATAAATTGATAACATTACTTTCATAAGTTAAAAGTAAAGAATATTGCTAGTAGAATAACTTTTTGTACTTAATTTTATGACTATTAGATTATGGTCCTAAAATATTAAAACTGCATGTGGATATTATTAATACATTTTTAATGTTTAAAAACTTCTTGTGTGAAAGCACTTTGGTGTACCATTTGTAACTAAATTATAAATTAATGAAGGTTATGCACTAGTATATAACAAAAGGATATCACTACTGCATAGAGGACATAAACTTGAATAATCTTATGTGTTTTTTAAACAACATCATCAGAAAACCTGAAAAGAAAGCAAAAATCCCAAATTTTGAAATTAAATATCTTTGTCAAAATTTTTGTTTAATTTTTTAATCTGAGCATACATTTTTTTATATAAATATAGAGGCTAGAGACTTGTATGGAAAAAAAAAATTAGATTTTGTAATTTTTACTTTTTTTAAATTTAAAAATGTCAAAACATAAATATTTCTATCATTTTAAAATATTATATAATTAGAAGTACATGTCTATAATCAACAGTTGTAAAAATAAAGGTTGTATAAGAACTTTTATGAACATGGTATATATAGAGGTACATTTTACTATTTTTCAGTCTTAAGGGATAAAATGTATATACACAGTTCTTCTGAATTGCCATATAATGAAATAGAGGCTGTTCACTTACACAGAATCATAAAATATTAATGAACACTTAAAAATTGTCTGATTTCCATGCAATAAAATGGTACATTACTAAAAAAAACACACTGTAGAAGGGCAGTATTCAAAAGTACAAAACAGATAGTAAGAAACAGAGACGAAAATTGATTTATAAAGAGCTGGGTCGCATTTATAACAGCTGTATGATTTATTTATTATTGTGCAATAAATTAACATTTGTCAAATTTTGCGAAGAAAAATTGTGTTGCAGAAAGTTTTACGGTGTCTTAAACTGAAGCGTGTTTCTTTTAATTATTTTGTAGCTGCTGGTAAGGAGGGACCTTGATCAAAGCAGATGTTTAAATGCAGTCTTAAGCTCAAGCAGCATAATTTTAGTATGTATTGTGGCGTAATTTTTGTTTAAGAGCAGAACTAGGAAGGTAGAACAAAAAACTCATTTTCCTCTTATACTGTTTTATTTTGAAAAAGGAAAAAATACTATTTAGACTTCTTGTAAAATATGTGTTCTGTATGAGCAAAGTGCTTTTTTTGATGACCCAGTTTGAAAGTGAGAAGTTGAAGCATCGAAATTTCATCCTTGAGCATGATGCTCACTTTGGAGGACCATTTTCTGTGAACAAGAATCAATTAAAATAAGCTGTTGCAGAGAATACATGTTACATACAGTTTAGGAATTATCAGATGGACTAAATATTCCAAAAAGTACAGTACGTAATCATTTGAAGAATTATCTAGCAATTATCTTGGGCATCCACGATACAAATTTGGGTGCAATCCGGAACAATTTTCACACTTAGGTGTTTCTGTTTTTCCTGTAATTGGGCAATCTTTCGATCTGTGATTTTCTGCGCATTTCACACGTCGGGGTTGGAAGAAGCAATTCTAGGACGAGTGATGCCACTTTTGGCAATTGTGACATTTCAGAATTTGATTTTTGTTTTTGTGCTTTTCAACAGAAATTATGTAGAGCATCAGATCTTTCAAATTACAGTCAAATACCGAAAATCCGCGTTGCCTCTCAGAATATAAACATTCAGTTTATAGGTTCCAGAAACCGCAATATCGAGTACGAATTATCGAAGAAAAAAATACTGACTGAATAATAATGACGTCATAATTACCGAATAATAATGAGTCAAAACAGAAATACCAAATTATTGGTATAAAAAAGTTTAAAAAAAAATAAGATAAAATAAATACAGTGTCTCATAAAAGTGATGGGACACTTGTGCTTTATGAAAGGAAACTGTAGTAAAGTAAATTAAAAAACATGTAAAAATTTTTTGTGGGTGTGTTTCATACTTAAATTTAGTAACATTATTATATACATACATTTTCTCAAAATATAAATAGTAATTTAATAAAAATACAATTGTTTAGAAAGAGCAAAAAATGGCTCACATAAGTGATGGGACACTTACTTTCCATCAAATATTTATCCAAAATTTACTTCTTAAAATGTTTTAATATTTTGTTGGATTTCCTTTTACTTTTAAAACGAGATTTAATCTTCTTGGGATGGATTCGACTAATTTTTTTGTGATTTCTGGAGTGATTTTACCCCATTCTTCTTGAAGCAATGATTTTAATTGTTGTTTTGAAGAAATGGTGTGTTTGCGAATTCTTGCCAAATATTCTCTATGGGATTTAAGTCTGGAGATTGTGGTGGTGTTTTTATTATTTCAGGACAGTTATGCAGCAGCCAGAGTCTAACGTTCAAAGCAGTGTGCTTGCGGTCATTGTCCTGGTAGAATTTAAAATCATTATGAAGGGTCAGTTTTCCTGCTGAAGATTTCAAATTCTGATTTAAAATGTCAATATACTTGTACTGATCCATTATACTGTCAATAAAAACAAGATTACCAACTCCAGCGGACGACATACACCCCCATGTTTTACTGTTGGCACCAAGTTCTGTTTGCGAAATTCTTTCCTGGGTTTTCTCTACACCAAGATTCTACCGTCAGAACCAAATATATTAAATTTACTCTCATCAGCAATATAACTTCATTCCAGTAATCAGAGTTCTTATTTATGTTGGATTTTGCGAAAGCCAGTCTGAGTTTCTATTCTTTTCACTTACGAAGAATTTTTTTCTGGCTGCTCTACCGTGATATCCAGCAGATCGAATTACTCTTCTAATAGTCTCAGGATTAAACAATTACTCCATATAATGCTTGGTAAATCAGCAGCAACTTTAGGAGCACTCATTCTCGGATATTTTTTTTATTTTGAACAATAATTCGCTTTATTCCATTGGATCGCTTTGATGGTCGGCCAGGTCTTTTTTATCCTGAACCATATGATTCTTTTTACATCGTTTAATGATATTAAAACTTTTGAATGACTCATGTTAACTGTTTCAGCGTTCTCTATAGATTTCCACGTTCAATATGCAAATTAATAACTAATTTCGAATTCCCAGCAAAGTTTCTTTTCGTTTAGCATTCATGGCTGCACGGAGCTAAAAAAACACAAAAATTCCAAAACAAAACTGAGAGAAAGACTGCAGACGATTTTATAATTATTGGCAATTGCTTTTGAGTAAAAAAAAAACCCAAAAAAAATATTTTTATTGTAGTACGTTAGTAGTATCTAATGGTGTCCCATCACTTATGTGAGCCATTTTTTGCTCCGTTCTAACAATTGTATTTTTATTAAATTATTATTTTAATATTTGAGAAATGTATGTTATGTAATAATTGTTACTAAATTTAAGTATGAAACACACCCACAAAAAATTTTTACATGTTTTTAATTTTTTATTACAGTTTCCTTTGTAAAGCACAAGTGTCCATCACTTTTGTGAGACACTGTAAGGTTTTTTCTTCCTCTCTCTGCATCGAGATAAAAAGCAGACAATTCACTCAACTCTTGTTCAAGTTTACGATTCACGTTGTGTATTTTCTGAGCTTTGTTATTTCATTTATGAGATTGTTTAGTGCTGCCTTTTTTTTATGGATATTGTGGATAATTAAGAATATTTTATTTCAGCTCTTTTTAATACATGACAGATAAGAAATGCACTTGTGATTTTACTCTTTGCAACGCTGAAAAACGTAAACACGTTGCATTGACGGTAACACAAAAAGTGCAAATTCTGCAAAAGATGGAAGCAGGTGCTACTCCTCGATTTATAGCAGAATGGTATGGAATTGTGACACGACTGTGTATGATATACGGAAAAGTAAAGAAAAGCTGTTGAAATTTTACAGCAGCAGTGATTCTAACACCAGAATCTGAAACCGGAAATCTTTGCAAGAGGCGAAGTCGGCAAACCTGGATGCTGTGTACATATAATACAATGAATAATAAAATCAATTTATACATGTAATAATAATTGAATGCATATAATAAATTATTGCAATAATGTATATAATAATTTAATTAAATGTATCTCATACCCCTTATTCATTTTGCACTTTTAGTTCGAATAATATGCTTTATCTTTTTCCGTCCTGAAATCCACAAAATCCTAAAATCTGCACAACCTCTGGTCCCAAGCTTTGCGGATTTCTGGAATTTTACTGTATAAATTTCCTCTAACCTCTAACAGTGACATAACTGGTTAATTGAAATCATACTGTACCCATATGAAGACACTGGATTAATTAACATGTAAATAGCCACCCAAAGAATTAATTTACCATTGAAATTATTATTATAAATTTTTAAATAATAAAATAAAATTGCCCTTTTTTCAATTTACTTTTTAGCATCAAGACTGATATAGACAGTGCTAGACAAAGTATAGGTTACTGTCCTCAGTTTGATGCTCTAGATTCTCACCTGACAGGCTATGAGCATCTTGAATTTTATGCACGTCTTAGAGGAGTTCCCGAAAAACATGTTCGAAAGGTAATGATGTACTTCAATGTCAAATGCTTTTTGTATCTCTTTCAAATTCATGTGATTATAAACACAGTTGTGTGACATTACTTCTTCATGCACTAAGATTTATGAGGTAAATAATATAGTTTAACTAGTAATAGGATAATTAAATATGTTTTGCAGCATTTTTACATCAACGAAATTCGTAAATTTTACGAATATTTTGTCCTGTTGAATCTTATTTTATCCGAATTGTATTATTTTTTCTTATCACATTTTAACATCTTTTTCACCTTAAATTTTACTTATATTAAATTTTTTGTATTAAAATTTCATTATATCTGAATTGTCTTAATCCACTGTAGGCATATGAGGAATTTTGTATGAAGATTAAAGAAATGTTTAATCAGTTAATATATGTATTTTATTTTGTTTTATTTCAATATATGGTACGTTATAAAGTTTAGTCACACAAATATTATGTACATTAATTTAGTAATTTTATTTTCATCATTTTAAAAATACTTTCATAAATTAAAGCTTTCCATCCCTACTCAGGATTTCTTCAGTATGAAAGTGTAAGGGTATTAAAAAATGAAATTAGCCAAGGAACATAGCAGTTAGAATATGTTATTAAATATTATTTAAAATGGTTATGCAACGCATGAAAATCTCCCAGTTTCTCTCGGTTGTCACTCAAAAAGTCTCCTAGTTTTTCAGATTTCAAGATTGGCACTATGCAATACAGTATAGAGTCTTTAATCTGGACGTTCATAATCCGGACCTCAAAGCTACAAACTTTCTGGTGTTTACGCATGCGCATAATACGTTTACGCATTCGCATTTAATATATAATAGACAGTATAAGCTAGGCTAAAATTATTTATTTCAGTTAATATTGCAGATTGCGTTGTTCCTTAATCTTCTAATTGGATCCGGCTTATTATTTTTTGCAGACTGTTAGAGCAATTTTATAAAAAGTAAGCTTGAACTTTCGATTATGTCAAAAAGAGTTTCAAATTCTGGAGCTGCCAAAGGATCTACAAAGTGAAAGCATGTTTCGATGTTCATTAAACAAAAAGTGGAATTGCTGCAAAAAAATGGATAAGGGCATGAAGAAAGCGACAGAGAGGTGATTTGTTTCTCTAACCATTCCGAAATCTGTTTATCGATTTCACGCTGCTCTGGAAAAACCCCTAATTCAGAGTCACCAAAGTCCCGATGAGTCTGGATTAAAGACTTTGTACTGTAGTTATCATCCCCCCTCTAAATAAAAGAATGTCAAACTAAGATAGTTTTTATGCAGTAAACGTTTGTAAACAGAGAGACTTTTTGCTGTATGGTGTAAAACCTAATTTAGGTTGATGTAATGCAAGAGTTTAATCCTGAAGCTCCAAAAAAGAAATAAGTAAAGGTAACCTTTTTTTGAGTGATTAGGCAGCTTAAGTATGCATCTTATATACCGGATCCTTTTCTGAATCATAAAGGCATTTTCTTTTACTTTATTATTTGATTCAGAAATAAAGTCTATGAATCTTCACTATCTATTTCACTTTCATTATTATCTGTATGCTACAGTTAAAGTAAAATTTTTCTTGACTTGTTACTTGAACCTATTTTGATGTATCTGTTCTAATATTAACACTGTTTATTGTAAAAAGAAATGTGAATAGGAAATAAAAAAATAATAAACTAATCTAGAAAAAGTAACATCTTCTCCAGTTGGAAGGTTGGTCCTCACAAGATTAGAAGAGGAAAGAAAAAGAGGGTAAAATAATAAAGAAAAAAGTGTAAATTAAAATCAATATATCATGCTCCAAAAATCAAGAACTCCTTGCCCCCCTAGAAAAAAGAAAAATTATATTAAGCATAGTGGTGAAGGAATACCAATTATAGTTGGTACACAAACATTCTGCATGAAAATTTGTATACACTGCACCTATCTTTTAGCATAAAACCTTTTTCACTATGTGTATGTGAGACCCATAATCTTAGGTATGTTCCCATTTATTATGTATGTGTGGCAACAATCTTCAAAGTGGTGTGTGAATGGTTTCTATTGCAGTACAGTGTCCTATATCTGGACTCGTTGGGACTTTCGTGATTCCTGATTTGAGATTTTTCCGGATATTAGAGCATCAGTTTAAATCTAGTAAGGTGGCATATAGAAATAATAAAATTAAAAATGTCAGATTGGGATTTATGAAATAATGAAGCATTTAAAATTTAAACGGTATCAAAATTTACCCCCCCCCCAAAAAAAAAAAGCTTAATACTTTTTTTTTTTTTTTTTTTCTTTATTAAACATTTCTCAATACTTTCTCTAATTTTATAGACAGACATAATTTCTTATTCATTTACAAAGTTCCATTGTTGAAGTCCTGTAATTGCTGTGTCCAGAATTCCAACTAACTTGTCAATCGAAATTTTTTCATCTCTCTGTCACTCTGTCTGTAGTGGTATTTTCTGGATTTAGAATCATGCTATAGATTTTGCCATCCGGTAATTTATTAATGATTGAGGAGCATTTTCATTCACAGGGAAAAACTTCTTTTATATCCTCTTCATGTATTACCACTTTTCCACATTTCTTTATGAAATCCGTTAATTGGAAAATTTCACCTTTGGTTTGCTACATCCGAAAACTTTCAGGAAATCTTTAAAATTCGTGGCTATCATCATAAAGTTTAACTATCATTCACTATACATATTTGGCTATGTATTATGAGATTGGCAACTAAAGACAATTTGTTCCGCTAAATTTTATCTTGCTGCTATCACGCATTGAGACAATTAAGCCTGAATGGTCTTAGTTATTTATTATACTTAACATCTGTTTCTTGCACATTTCTAATGCTTATCCGAGTCCTGAATAAATAAATTCTCACATATACTTAAGGCTTATTGAGGCTAGATATCTTAATGCCTGATGCAGTCTCTGTGAGTCCTAAATTCTACTACCAAACACCTCCCTTTGTCCCTAAATTCTGCCGCCCGGTGCAGCCATATGAACTCTGGCACTGGTTCTGGGTTTATGTGAATAACAAATCAGTTTATTCTAAATTGAAATAGCACTAAATATAATCTTTTGGCCTATGAGTATCATTAACAAAATCTACTTTTAGCATATGGAAAGAAATTTTTGTTGAATTTTTCCTGTCAACATTTCTTGGCGCATTTAACTTAAATCTATAAGCATCGTCAAGCATAATGTCAGCATAAAAGGTTACCATACTGTTTCTCAATTACTAATATAAAAAATATTATTTAGGCATTGCTCCATGAGTTATTACTCAAGTTGTCGTGTTGATAGACATGCGGTGATGAAAGCAAAATGTAATAAATAATGATTCACCAGGTGGAGGGGAGGGGTCGGAATATAAAATATTAGTAGGTGTAAAATCACCGATGTATGACAGGCGATTTGAGATGTATGACAGACAGATACCCAGCTATGGAGCCAAATTATTGAACATACAAATTTATGCTAAAAAGATTGTTTCTTCAATAACAAGGTATTTTATTTAGTGCCAAAGTGAAATTAAGAATCGGGACTCTGCACATTTTTTATTATGCGCAGAGGGGATCAAATGCGCATGTGTAAATTACACAAAAAATATAATAAAAACTTTAAGTTGGTAGTGGCATTTGAGGTCCGGATTGTAGTTCATTCCGGATATTAGACTTTGTATTTGGAATTTCGATATTTCAAGCTAAAAAGTTTTTTTTTATTTTACCTGTATTGAATAATTTTGTATGTGTTTTAGCATGCTATTGTTAAGTTGTCATAAATTCAGGACAATGGTTTTTAAAAATGAATGTAAGAATTTCGCCATTTTTTCATAATAAGAAACTCATCAGCTAAATAAAATGTAATATTTTATGTTACTAGGTTGCAGTTTGGGGTATCCGAAAATTAGGTCTTCTTCCTCATGGTCATCGTTGTGCTGGAACTTATTCAGGAGGAAATAAAAGAAAATTATCTACAGCAATAGCTCTTATTGGAAATCCATCCGTAGTTTTTCTGGTTTGTATACTTTTATTGTCACAATACTTTTTGCATGTAATGACTAATTGCAGCATTACAGGTTATTTCTTCTGTTCTAAACACATTTTTAAACACCTTGAGGATGTGTTATTATTTTCAATTAGTAATAAAATTTTGTTCTCTGTGTATGAAGATCATAAACACAAGAGTACATTGTTACTGACTAATGATGCATAAGATCTTTTGTTATATTTGATATAATAAAATTGCATAGCTCATCAGCATAAAAAAGCTATTTTATCTATTATTCTGAATAACATTTTCCAACAGGAGTGGTCAGTATCATTTTCCATAAAAAATAAAATTAAATGGTTGTGATGAAAGAATTGTACAGATTGCAATACTTACATGTACTTGCTTTTTAAATTTTATTCAAAGAATAATATACCTTTTTTAATATGACTATATTGATATTTTTAATATGATTATTAATATTTTAATAGGACAGATTTATTCAAATTTAGTCGCGCTCGAGTGCAATTGGGGTGACGTTAAAATTTATGCTACTGAAATATACACGAACACGTGCTTCTCATATTAAACCCTTTCTTATTTTTTTTAAATTGCTAAATTGCATCTCCACAGAATCAAACTTACATACTCATTTTCAGATTAAAAAATATTCCAATTTTAACTATCTTCAATTTAAAAAATGAGTATTCTAGATTGTTTTTCTTGGAAAAGAAGCAAGGGGTAAACATGTTGATATTTCTCTGCTTGTGTACCATTTTGCATTTGAAACAGAAATGTAGAAATAAACAGAGGAACTTTAAAAACTGATATTATCTTTTAATGTTTCGTGAAATATCTGCACATATTGAAGGATTTGATTACCTGTTGTTTGAAGATGTTGATGAGTTGTTGTGTAATGAAAGGGAAGATGAAACTTAATTTTACAGAATGTAGTGGTAATAAAGAAACTGATCTAGTTCTGAATGCAGATTTAATAAAAGAAGGTCTGGAACTGGCCAGAAAATTGGATATTTTTTTTATTTTTGTCTGTTTTCCTAATCATAGAAATCAATGCAAAGCACATGCAAAAGAATATTATTAATGATAATATTTTATTTTTTTAGGACGAACCGACCACAGGAATGGATCCAAAAGCCAGAAGGTTTCTCTGGAATTGCATCATTGACATAGTCAAAGAAGGACGCTCTGTCATTCTTACGTCACATAGGTAATCAAGTGGTATTTGATATTATATATAAATTTCAAAACTCCTCATGCCTTAGTTCAGTTTTAATTGTTTTAATTCTCTCTTGGATTAAATTAAATAACTCCATATCTGCAAATTTAAATAATTTTAGTTTTAAATGCATATTAATTTTATAATTGAAGTTCAGTACTTTTCCATTTCGCTGACGCAAATCTTGCCAAGCAAACTTTATTGGCGGCAACATACAGTATACACATAAAAAATGTTAGTTCTAAGATTTTTTTTATTTTAAAGGCATAAACATTTTAATATCGTTTAAAATTTTATAAAAAGCGAATAAATTTGTAAAAAGGCATTAATTTAAGAATTTACTATGCTTTCATGATTCAACATCCTAATTCACCAGGTCATATCACGTGATCCCAAGTGATCTCATTTCACGCAAACTATGTTACAAAGTTTAATTATATCAGTAATTATCTACATTAATTTCAAGTTAAATCTTGATTTGGAATGCAAGTTTGATGCAAAAGCAAAGTTTAAAGTTATAAAAACATTTAGCGGAATTAGCAATAGAAGCTCCCTAAGGTTATATACTGTGCAGACATTGAAGACAAAAGTTTTAAACTTAACCAATTTATTAACAATATAGATAAAATAAAAATACAATAAATAAATTTAATCAATATAAGAAACTTAGAGAGTGAACATAATCTTATCAAACCATTACAAAAGTTGATCATCATGACCCAGGGTCTTTCCTTTAAAGAATATTACACTATTAATGATACAGTAAGTATTTTACCTGATCTTTGAATACTGGCATTCAATATGCGAAAAACATATCACAGAACAAAAACTTCGTGGTTAATATGAATTCACTATAAATAAGTCCATTTGGGGGGGGCAAGAAGGCACCTGAAAAATTAAACTAAACCTTGAGTGCACTTAAACCGGTAAAAGCCGCTCACTGTAATTACACATGAGAGATCACAGCTTGGAGAAACATCGCCGCTAATCCTGGAAAAACACTTGTATTAAAGATGCCGCCTTCATGAAAACAGGGTGCCGCCCACGGCGCTTGCTCACCAGAAATCACAGGTTGGAATCTATTGTTGCCGAACCATAGAAACAGGATGCCGCCTTCGGCAGTCGCTCCATCGTAGCTGCTTTTCAGAATACAAGGAAAGTCATCTTTGGACCGGAACCACGGCACCTATCGCTGGACGGCATGCATCGCAATATCGTCTTCCAATGGGGGCTGGAAATGGCACACCGAGAAGCAATGCAACTGGAACCAGAAGGAATAAGCCAGAGCAACGTGAGATACTTATACCTGAAGTAGACATGACGTCATTCCACGGCAACCAATCAGCTATCAGCACGACTCAGCTTTCCAGATGACGTAACATCAAATTTTGTTTTAGCATCTTAATTAGGCTGGAACAGTCCGTTCTTAATACAAACAGTGGCAGTGAAAAACGAAGTAGAAGTAATTGCCTCTAAAATAAGAACTAAACCTTATGTAAAAGTTAGAATTATTTCAAGGAGGAGAGATGATGCAAAAAAAAAAGGGTTACAATAGGTCATATTTTCCAACAAAGTTTAAATGCAAGAATTATTTCAATTCGTATGAATAGCTTATTCAGAAATTATGTAAAACTGCATGCTTTACTTCTAGTGCATTCTCATTAGAATTGAGGAATTTAACTTTTGCTTTTTCTATATTTTCGCCTTCAGGTGAGCGGTGTGATTGCATCCTAATTAATACGAATAGCCTTAGGGCATAAAATTGAACTATCTGGTAAAAATTCTATCTAATTATATACCAGTATTGCAAGAAACAATCAATCTAATAAGAAATGACTGCAACTTGTTTTGAAAGTGAGGTGTAAAAAGTTACCAGCAAGGATATTCTGTTTGGCCATTCCATTGTACCATTATTATCAACTTTATTGCTTGCGTTGGCAAAACGGAAAAGTACCTGAAGTTTTGATTTTGATAATGTAGATAGGAATTGTTGGTCTCAGAGTTTTCAAATTTTGTATGAATTTTCCCTGAGGAAATGTTATGTTCTTTTACAAGGGGAAAAAATTGCTCTTTAAGTGTGCCACTAAAATAATATGTTGCACTCTTTGACAGTGAAGAGTAACATAGGATATGAGAAGCATAAATAAAAGATGTGTGGTATTTTCTGCTAGAAAATTGAAATCATAAAGTTACAGATTTACCAACAGATTTCAGTGCTTCTTTCAAAATGCTGTGGTTATGATGTATATTCAGAGTTGCCACGTTACCAGGAAAGCCGTAAAAAGTCAGGGAATTCGAAAATTGACCAAAAAATTCAGGGAATTTAAGTATTTTAGTCAAAATCTGGAAAAGTTAGGGAATTTCATACAACGATCTCACCAAAAAAAGGGAGTTTTGCGCTGACGTCAGAAGAGATCACTTTTTTGGCGAATTGTGTATCACGTGAGTGTCATTCGGGCAGCTGGCATAGAGCTAATTTTTGCAGCTCCAATTTGATTGTCTTTTAGAAAGGCAAAGCAAGTTTCCCGCAACTTTTGGTTTCCAGTAACCTCGAGAATCGCATGTGCAGTACATGAACTAAAAGAAAGTATCTATTCTCATATTAAACAAAATGGGTTTAATCCTAGTATACGGTACCATGGAGGTTAGAATCAAAGAATATGTACTGCAAAGAAAGAAAACCTCTCTGCAACAGACATAGCTCCGTTCCATCATAGAGAGAAACAGCTGTGCATGCGCGATATATCTGTTGCCAAAGCTCGAAACCGGTGTCGAAGTTCGAAGATAACGTTATCAAGAGTTCATAAAATGAATATAGTTTAAAATTTCTTTAAACTCTAAAGGAAAAGAAAATATTTTTGGCGCAAGTAAATTAATTCATGATTCATTTTGGAAAAAAGAAAAAAAAAACTACAAAAATCCGTTTTTAAATTATTGCGAAAAATTATTGTGTTTTATCAAAAAACGTTTCTTCTTGGATTTTTTGCAATAATTTAAAAACGGATTTTAGTAGTTTTCTTTTTTGTCAAAGAACGTTTCTTCTTAACATGTGTTCATTGTCCTGTACACATCGCGGAGAGGGAAATTCTGGCCACCAAGTTCCATCGGCAAATCCCTTGGCAAATTTTCCCTCCGCTTTCTACCGGCATAATAGCATTACAAGTATTTAACCTTTTCTTCTTTATACAAATGTTCTTTGGTTAGAATAATCTCCATGTGTGATACAACGGGATTTGGCGACATGATAATGAGCAGTAAACAGGTCATTTTGGTCTTGGCGACAATTTTCAAAATCGTGCCAAGGCCTTACCGTATACTAGGATTTTACCGCAAAATCTTTTTTAACCCTTTTTTTTTTCTTTTTAATAAATACCTTATTTGTCATTTTGCAGTAAATTAAAAAAATAGTAATCAGTTATCTAGGCTAACCATGTAATATAACTATATTCGCTAAAATATCATTGATTATTTTAATTCAATTTTTAAGTAATTATCTTTATTTTTATGCTATTCGTATAATTTAATGTTGCTTCTTCCCTCTAAATTTATTTATTATTAGTAAATAATATTTCCAAATTTCAGTAAATTTTCTCTGGCATAATCCTGAAATTAATTCTGACAGTATGATGACATACCATCACGAAATTTAATGGACATATTTTTTCCTTATGTATGCTGTGAAATAAATATAAAATACCTCAATTTATTAAAAAATTATCATTAAATAGATTTCTTTCTTTCGTTTAGCTGCAGAATGTCTGCAAAAAAAGCCTTATATTATTCCAGATTGGGAAGATTCTAATCTCAATCTTCAATGGAGAAAACAACAACTATTATAATTATATTTGTGTTTTCAAGTGTTAAAGTGCTTTTTAAGAACATACCTCACACAAATTAAATTTACCTAAAATTTAACCTAACGTTTTAGCATTGCGTTGTGATTTAAAAGGACCGGATTAGCCTCGTGTTGATCATGAGTAATAATTAAATAAAACATACAATTTTTATCCAATGTATATATCTTAAATTTTATTAAGTTTCTAAGTGGAAAAGTAAACAAATTTCAAACAAAGTATACCAAAATAATTAAGAATAATATTCCCTGGATTTATTGAATAATTAAGTGAATTTGCTACACATCCAGTAATACCATAATAATTTACCCTTAGCACAGCCAACGTACATTACGCGGATAGACTGGAATTTTCTTGAAACACATCTGGAAAAGTCAGGGAATTTCATTCTCCTGTTTGAGTGGCAACCCTGTATATTGCTTGATTACAGATTAAAAAATTTTGTGATAGTTCTTTAGGTGTCCTCAAAGGGAGAAGTCAGAATAATTTATCCCCACTGAACAAATGGTCAGCTTTTTGAAAATGGTGATTGCATTCTTATTCTTGCATTCTGAAATGAGTCAGAAGCAACTATTTTATTGATGTTGTTTTTGGAAAAGTAGCATCATCTTGCATGGAATTGGCGAACTGCTGACTCTGAGACCACTAAAATGGTATCATAGATGTTTACAAAAGGACATCGATCAAATTCTAAAATAATGGGAACTACATTGTTAGAAAATAGTTGAATGATAATTCTGCCATTACCAAAATGAGTCAGAAGCAACTACCGTATACGCTCCTGTAATGGTCGCACCCCAACTTTACAGATAAAATTTATGTAAAAAAAAAATGTGACCCGCACAATGTCTGCATCTCAAAAACTAAAGAATTTCTTGCTTTAAAATATATTTTTTTTAACATCGCCTTTTTCCCTTTAGTCAATAAACAGCTTTAAAAGAAAGAATATGCATTTGTTTTTGTCTTTGGTTGGTGCCAGGATGGAAAGCAGAGACTTTCCTTGCATTCTGGTGCATTTGTTATTCAGTCATAATATCGGCGCCAGCATTCCACTCGGCAGACGCGATAATAAATAAAGGCAGTCCAAATAGGTTTTCACTGGTTTCCAGAAAATACTGTTTTGTAATGAAATTATTTTTCCCTCCTTCCTCATTACAACATTTGCATGTTTCAAGCTTTCTCTTTTCATTCATAGTATCATTTGGAATTCATGGTAATTAGCAAGTAGCATGCTTGAAATGGGAAACTACAACAGCTATACAGCGGCTTTTAAACTGAAAGTTGTAGAATTTTCTCAAGAAAATAGAAAAAGAGCAGCAGCAAAAGTATATAAGGCTGATGAAAAGTGTGTGCGCAATTGGAACTAACAGCATGATCAATTGGCGGCAATGCACAAAACAACATATGGGTTTTGTGGTTCGAAATGTAAGTTTCTAAACTTAGAAAAAAGTAGTTGTGTTTATTCGTGATATGCGTGTTTAAGGGTATGCAGTAACACAGGAAATATGCCAAATAAGAGTGCTTGCTGTGGCACGAGAAGACATTCCTATATCACAATTCAAGGCAAATGAGGGCTGGTTGCAACGAATGATGAAACAAAATAGATTTTCATAGTCTGTCAGAACAGATTTTTTAAAAAAAATAATGTGTGCAAGATATTAAAAGAACCAATGTTTATTTAATTTGTGTGAAAGTAACTATTAAAATTGCAAGTGTTGGTTAATTTCTGCCTCTATATTGTGCTCCTGTGTGAACTAATATGCGCCAAGTGTTGCTAACGTAAACGGGGTAATTTATATTATATAAGTGGATGGGAGAAAATGAGTTTGTAAATTTTAAGTAGCTATTAGACAACTTTTAAATTTGATAATTTTATTACTTATGCCATTTTCTTCCACTTAGAACTTTACTTGGCTGTTTGAAATTAAATTTATACCCAAAATTACTCACGAGAAAATGCATGACATTTAAATGACCCTTGTAATGTCCGTACCTGCATTTTAGCGATGTAATTTTAGTAAAAAAAAGCGGACATTACGTGAGCGTATACGATATTTTATCAGTTACAGATTTTGACACTTCTCAAATGTTGGAATCTTGTAATTTTGCAAAAAGGCATTGGCTTAGCAGAAAGCATATCAACAGTACTACATCAATGGAAATGGGCTTCTGTTTGGTATCAACTTCTGGCATGGTGGTAGGGATGCTAGCTGCCATAAACTACTGCCATAAACCAGGGTCTTATAACTGAAAAAGCATAGATGTTTGTAAATTTATGCTAGTTCTGTGGCACAGGGGCTCTTAAAATACTGTCAAGTTCTCTCAGTGGAAGGGAAATAGAAGGAAGACCCTCAGATTCTTATCAAATGAAATTCCATTGCTTCAGAAATATTCATGTAAAATCTGAAGTTGGCAATTTTTTCCCAACTAAGCTATTTAAAATTGGATCTTTGATTATCTAATTCTGTATACTAAGCATTAAAAAATAAATTCTTGTGAATGCAAAATTTATGAGACCCCGATTCACTTATTCCTTAGTGTATTATTTTCAATATTTTAAGATCTTTAAATAATAATTTTAATTATGTACATTATTTGCAATTTAAATAATTGACATTATTTTGTTGTCTGGTTGTACGTCTTTGAAAACATGTGAATGGAATAAAAGTGACAGTTAATTATGTTATTTATATTTTTATGTAAATCAGAAAAATATCGAAAAATTTTTTACTTTGCCTATTCATAAATCTTACTTAAATTTAATTTTTCAATGTTTTATTATTCGACTATATTATTATTTTTTTATAAAAGTAGATTTAAGAAGAGTGAATAATTCTCTCAGAAATGCTGAAGTAATGCTTAATAATATTTCCAATAATGTAATATCATTTATGAAAATTAAAATTATATTTTGGTCATTGCCATAAACAATTTTATGTTAATAGCTTTTAGAAAATATAATTGGCATTGATTTTAGAAAGCATAATTTAGAAGTTATAATATTTAATTTGGCTTGGCTGTATAAATTTATTTTCTTGTTAAATTTCTTTTATTGTATGTGATTTTTTTTTTCCGTCTCTTCAGTATGGAAGAATGTGAAGCTTTGTGCACAAGACTTGCTATTATGGTGAATGGCCAGTTTCGTTGTCTGGGTAGCATACAACATCTTAAAAATAAGTAAGATATTCATAGTTAGAGATATTTTGTTAATTTTGTATTTAGCTTTGGTGGCATTGATAAATGGTTTTTTATTGCCAAAAAAAAAAAAAAAAGGTAAAAGCAGATAATTTTTAAGTAATTTTTATATTAAATACTTTCTACCTAAGTTAGATCCTAAGGGCTCTAGGTAAGTTTTTGTCTTCTGCTAGCATATGTTATCTAAACAAAAAGTAACTGTTGAAAGTCTGAATGTAAATAACTCGAGATTATAAAATAACAATTACGAAATGGGATCTCTGCTACTTTCAAGAAGCTGGAGATGGGCCCAACAGGATGTGAATGTCCTAGAATAGACCACTATGTTATTTTATATAGTGGTGTTTCAAGAACAGTTCATGTCTGTTAACTTCTGTTTTCACTGTTATACATAAATGTACATAATGTAGTTCCAGAGTTATTGCATTTTAGGAGATTATTTTTGCAAATTTTAAAGGAAGTTTTCTTAATTTATTATTGTGATAAATTAATTTATTGAAATAAGTATTAAATTTTTATTGTAACAAATAAAAATATTAATATTTAGTTATTGTGTATTTATAATACACATGTCCTAGTGGGTTATTTTGAACATGTTATATTAATCTGACTGGTATTTTTCAGCATGAACAAAAGGAAGTTGACTCGGATTGAATTTGAGTTTTTAACTGTCAATTTGGATGAAGCAGAATTGTCTCAAGATGAATCAATCTATTCTGACTCTTTGGTATCTCAGAATGGATTGATTCATCTGAAAGGGTTAAAATGAAATTTAAGAACTTCCTTGCTTTGATAACTATATATAACTATATATTTTTGGGGGACTCGAATAACACTCCACCAAAGACTAAACACCAGAATATTAAACTTCAAATTCACCAGTCATATCATTATCAGACTATCAGATTTAGGGCTGAACTATCAAGGGGGCAGTGCGTTTGGGTGCAGCTAAGATGAAACATTACTCAAGAACTTCTAATTTTGCACATAAAATTGGGGAAATGTAAAATCTTAAATATTCTGATATTAAAATTTGCATCTCCTGGAAGGTGAAACCATAGGAATTATCGGACAAATAATTTAAACAAAAGTGGTGAAAAACTCTACTAAAATACTGGAGAAGGTGCCTGTAACTTAAGAATAAAGTAAACACTGTCAGTTGTTTTATTTGTTCTCAAGAAAAGTAGAAACAAATGCCATTGCTATAAAATATAAATGTTTTTAGTTTGCTGCATAATGTACTGGAATTAGAATGTGCTAATTAGAAGCACTGAGACATAATATTGTGGCATAAATCCATATGTATAGTAAAATTCATTAAAAAGCAAAGTCTTGATCTACTTTTTATTGATTTGACCTAATGTAACAGTGGCTGAAATGTAAATTTGTTGTGGGCTTAATCTTGCATTATATTATCAAATTAATATTAACATTCTAATTGAAACAATTTCATTGAAAAAATGCAATGTAAGAATATCATTTTTTTGCACCATTAACTTCTAAAAGAGCTAGAAATATAAGCATCTAATCCTTTTTTAGTTTATTTAATTTAAGATGTTTACATATTAAGAAAAATTTCCTGTGCACTTGATGATATAGATATTTTCACATGTAAATGGATATTATGTTGGCAGTTATGAAATAAGTAAATATTCTTAAAGTTATTAATTACTATTTGATGTAATGGGCACTAAAATAATAAAAAAAATACCTACAATCTTTAGGAAATATTCAATAAGATTCTATTTTTTTATATAGATATATATCTATATATTTAAAAAAATTACCATGAAGTTGATCTCTATTAACTTTTTGTGTAGGCCACTCATCATATCATGTAAAATGCTTGGAAAAATTCAAAACATTTCTTTCTGTTAAATATTCTTAACAAGATGTTGATAATTGGTTTAGTGAATATCCTAATTTTTATTTATAATTACCTTTATTGATATAATATGCCAGGTGATACCAACTGCCATATAGTTCAGCCTCCATATCTTGGAGAAGCATTAGTGAGAGCTTATGTGTGAGATGTTTGTGGTATGGAAGCACTTAAAATAATATTAGCTATGATGATAGTGTGCTAGCTGCCATAGCCTTGGATCCAATAACCATTCTTGAGAAGACATAATATTTGTAAGTGTATAGTGTTCTTTGAGTTATGCAGGCATTTAAAATATTGTTGAGTTGAAATTCGTCTTGAGAGTTCAGTGGAATTGGAAGAAGTCATTAAACCCAGCCTTTGAAGGACTGATGTATATATATATATACAGTACACGCCCGATTATCCTCGGAATTGGGTGGCGCAGCCGCCACAGATAACAAAAAACGTGGATAATCCGAAAAAAGCTAAAAACGGGTATAGCAAAAGAGGAAAAAGTCATTCCAACTTTGAAAAATTGTTTTATGTACAATAAAACATGAAATAAACAGCAGGAAATGTTTAACTAACGCTTAATATTTTAGTATATCACTCAAAACTAACCTAAAATGCATTTTGTTAATGAAAACAGAAAAGTGCTTTGTACTTACGAGAGGCGTCAAGGATACACAGAAAAATTAATACATATGTAATGTATTATATAATTACAAAGCATAACTGTAAAACTAACCCTTTTGAAGAAATAAGTCATTTGTGTTTGCTTCTTGCTTTGGAAGCATTTTCTCTTGATCCGAGATTGCATTTTTCGTAGCATAAGTTTCTCGGGCAACTCCGCATCGTCTTGTTCTTCCAAATAGCTCAGCAGTCCTTCGACTTGTTGCAAAGCCGCTTCGTGAGTCGTCCGCATCTGCACAGTGGGCTCTTCTTCGCCTTCACTTTGCTCTCCTTCATTCTCGGTCTCTCCCCTTGCTTTCTTCACAGTTTCATCATCTGTCAAGCGTTCAAAGCCAGGTTCGTTGAAATCACACTCCAACCACTCGTTAATATTTTCAGTATCGATGTTCTCACCACCTGGAACTCTTTTCACCATATCGGCAAGAGTTGGCGTGGGCATGTCTACATCTTCATTCTCTTCCTCACAACTCAAAGGGCTTAGGTTGTTGTTGGCTACAACATTAAGCATGAGTTTTCTCCATGATTTGACAAGGCTTGACAGTTTCACTGAGTCCCATGCAGATGCAATATCATAGATGCTATCCAAGATTGTGTAGTGTTTCCAAAACTCTTTCAGATTATAACCTTCTTCAATTTTGGTCATTAGGAATTTGGTTCGGTATGTTCTCTTCATTGTTGCAATGACTCCTTGGTCCATGGGTTGGATTAGCACAGTAATGTTTGGGGAAGAGAAATTTTGCAAAAATTTGTCCATCAGAAGACTTAAGCTCGCTTGTTGCTGGGTGAGAAGGTGCGTTGTCAATCAATAGCACAGCTTTTTCAGGCAGGTTTTTCGATTTAAGATGTTTACGCACTTGAAGAACAAAGATTTTTTCGAACCATTCTTGAAAAATGTTTCAGTTCAGCCATCCCCCCCCTTTTTTTTTTTTTTTTTTTTCCGGGGGAGGGGGTTAACGTAATCAACGGGTAAATTTTCTATCCTTGTGCCTTTGAAAGATCTCAATTTTTTTTACTTTCCAATGACGACAAGTTTATGTCCACCGGTAGCGTTACTGCAAGACATCATAGTGATCCTTTTCTTGCTGCTTTTGTGACCCGCCGCTTTACTTTCACTTTCAGATGCTAAAGTGTGAGTGGGAAGACATTTCCACAAAAGTCCCGATTCGTCGGCATTGTAAATTTGTTCAAAATATAGCTCTTTTTTTAAAACAAATTCTTCAAATTCATGGTGGAAATCGTTGGCTGCTTGTTGTTCACCACTAAGTTTCTCCCCATGAAGTCCAATTTCTCGAATTCCATGTTGCTGCTTAAAACGAGTCAACCAGCCAGGAGACACATCAAAATTTCCTTTCAGGCCTAACAACTCAAAAAAGGTTTTTGCCTTCGCTGCAATGATAGGACCATTTACAAGAGTACCCTCTTTTCGAACTTGAGCTAACCACTCTGTCAATGCGGTGTCTAGCTCATCAAAGGTAGAACCCTTCATAGTTTTTCACATTTTCATTGCAGAACCCTTCATGGTTTTTCGCGTTTTCGTTGCAGAAAGCACTGTACGACATTGATGCAAAGTTCACCAGTTTGTCTTTTTGCTTTAGACTGTCATGCACTGTTGTGTCCGCGATTCCGTAATCCAATTCCATCTGCTGCCTTATAACGCCGTTTGCTACTAGGAAATTAATTCTAGTTTTTGCACAATCGTAAACACAACCTTCTTTTGTTTTCCTTACATTTTAAATCGGTAACAAAAAAAAAAAAAAAAAAAAAAAAAACACAAACACTGAACACAATAAAAGATAAGAAATTAACTCTGACCGGTTCGCAAACACTATCAGGCTTAAACTAAAGATTAAGACAAGAGAGGGGGAGCGGGCACTGCAAGGGTGAGTAAGAAATCACTTACTCATCAGAGGGGAATGTTCTGAGAAGGCCTGGGATATTTTTGCCATAAATAAGCATGATGTTAGCAAATTTAACGTTTCGCTCAGTTTTGTGAAGATTTTTATTTTCTTTGCTTTACGCTTGAAAAAAAAAAAAAAAAAACTTTGTGTGGCGGGCACGGATAATCGGCCCGTGGATAATCGGGATTCTACTGTAGATATATAGATGTACACACATATAATATATGTGTGTGTGTGTTTTCTTAAAATTTGTTCCAAGTTTCTATTATTTCTTAAAATTTATAATAACATAATATCTTACGTGATTCCTTTTTAAAATTTCAATTTTTCTATCTATAGGTATGGCAATGGATATACTTTGACAGTTCGTGTAGCAAACGAACCAAGTGCCATGCAAGAGGTACAAAAGTTTATTGAAAATACTTTTGGGAATGCTGCATCCCTACAAGAACAGCATTTGAATCAGATGGAATATCAGTTGGCTCCATCGTTATCCTTAGCAGTAGTATTCCAAGAATTAGAGAAAGCTCGTCAGCTACTGCGTATAGAGGATTATTCTGTGTCTCAGACCACGCTAGATCAGGTACTTTTGAACCCAAAACCTGTTAGCAATCATAGCTAATGGGTAATATTTTTCATGTAACTGTTTCATTTCAGCTGTTTGTTGTTATACTCTGAGGAAATCATTGCTTTGCTAAAAATTATTCATAATTTCTGTCACTAGCTAAAACAATATTTTTATTGCTCATAGAATTATTTCTGATGCTAAATATAAAAAGACATGAAAAGTTTCACATCCAAATTTATACAAAAATTATTTTAATTTTTATCCAATTTGATATTTAGATGGCTATGAAAATATCGGGTTTTAACAAAAGTTTCCCGCCACCATAAATATCATCTATGCAAACAGTTTGCATTGACATGTTTAATCATATTTTGTTAAATGATTTTTAACATTAGAAAAAAAGAGACTTATTTAGAACACTGTGTTGTGAAATTTGTAAAAAAATATTGTTATCATTAAGAACAATGTGTCTAAAATGGAACTATCATGCTACTAGATTAGAACCATCATTTAGTTCCAGTTGTGTTTCAAAAAGTCAGCTACAGAATGTTACTAAATGATGTGTACAGCTTTAGGTAATAACGTTGTATCATATGACACTGTAAAGGTTTGGTACTGAAAGTTCAAAAACAAGGACTATGACATTCAAGAAGCAGAGCACTGGTCGGCCTGCTGATGTTGCTGGGGGCTCTCCTGCAAGAACTGGTGAAAGAAATCAGTATGCAATTAACTCGAGAGCTTGCTAAGAAGTTAGACATTAGTGCTATGTCCATTAGTTGCGCTATGCATCGCATTAACTTAACGAACAAGTTCAGCCGCTGGGTGCCACATGAGCTGACTCAAGCAGATTAGGACAGACGTGATAGGACCTGCATTAATCTGCTTGAATATCAAAGAAAGGACAAAAATTCTGGGCCAGATCATCACTTGTGATGAAAAGTGGATTTACTTCAACAACACAGGCCAAAAAGGGGGTTGGTCTGAGCCCTGTCAGCCCGTTGGCAGCATTGCAATGTGCAATTTGACTAACAAAAAGATCATGCTTTTGTATCTGATGGGATTGCCCATGGTTATTATCCACAAAGAGTATCTGGGAAAAGGTAAAACCTTCAACAGCGAGATGCTAGTCCGTGTTGATACTGCTATCAAGGAAAAACATCAAAATGAGTTACGGCACAAAATGGAAATGTTTCACCAAGATAATGCAAAACCACATGTGTCTGCATTCACTAGCTGCACTCTGTATGGACTCAAATGAGATCTTTTGTTACACCCACCATATAGTCCCAGCATTGCTCCGTCGGCTTTCTACCTTTTTTCACACCTGCAGCTACATCTTGCTGATGCTGTCTTCTGTTCTGCACAGGACGTCCAAAATGAGGTTGATCTGTTTTTGGACTCCCAACAACCAAGTTTCTGGGCCGAAGGCTTTAAAAGAACTACCAAAATGTTGGCAGAAAATCTCATATTTGGGTGGTTATTACTACCCACATTAAAGGTACTGCTTTCATGCTTTTTTAGTTCAAAGGTGGTTTGCCCCTGAAGGACTATTGTTTTCATTTTGCGTCAGAACCCTATAAACAGCATATCACTTTTCAAATCATTGCCCCCAAATACCATCGCCCTGTATTATATTTGAAGAAATTAAATGATGAAGAATCTGCATGAATGTATGTATGTTTCTCGCGCTGTGATAAAACAATGGTACCTGGAGCCATCCAATTTTAAATGGCGTAATCCTATTGCGAATATGGGCATCTGAAAGCCCAAATTTGAAATTTGGAATTTGTTTTATTATCGATTTCATATTTTGTAAAACTTTAACGACTTTTTGATTAACAAACTCAAAGATTTAAAAGCAAGCAATGGCAACATTTTACTCAATCGTCTGTGAAAAACTGTTTCTTTTTTGTTTTGTTTGCTTAATTTCTTTTATACATCGTTCTAGCTCTATTATAGTATTTGAATAGAACATGTGGCAACGATTAGATAATTCTTTAAATCATATAAATTTTGTGCATTCTGAATTATGAACGAAATATAATATTGTTAAGTGAACCTAGCGCCAGAGTGTCACTATGGTAAACAAATGGAATGAATTTTAAAGAATGCATTTATTTATTCTATTGTGGTTTATGCGCTGTCGGCGAAGTAGATTTAATTCAATCTAATAAGTTTAAACGAAATGCAAGAAAAAATGCATATAATATTCCGTACAAGGAAGTCATGTGATGTACACATCAGATTTTTTTTTTTTTTTCCCCGTACTATGTACAGTCCTTTAGAGGTACTTATGTGGAGTTCTGTTACGTTTTGCATTGCATTCAGATATATTTCCGTTTCTTCTCTTTTTATTTCGGAAAGCCTCACCTCCAGTCTATTATGGCCAGAAGGCGCTATTTATCAGAGGAAAAATACCCTCGTATGGTTAATGAACCATTTACTAATGCAGATGAGAATGATTATTCATTTTCTAAAGAGTTAGTGATACTTTTTCTAAGAGTTGGAAAGTGATACTTCTCCGTGCTTCGATATTTACCACACTCAGTCTTCATTTTAAATTTTGTTACTTCTTACTGTAAATAGTCTTTATTGTGTTATTTTATTAATTTTAAACTTTACTGACGGATTTTATCAATTGAAACTTTGTAAAAATTTGAATAGCTCTTCCAAAAATTATTTTACAAAATAAGCAATTTTTTATGTATATTTTCATGTAAAATAAAGTAAAAAACATTATCAAGTACTAATTTTAACATATATAAGAGCTCAAGTAATAATCTAAAATGATAACAAAAATTACGATGCTAGAAGTGAAACTTTTTTTTTCCTGATTTTTTTTATGAAATTAGGCTTAGCGATGTAAAAACTCTGTCCTGCACGGTGACTGCCTTTGATTCCCTTACGTACCGCACGAGTGTCTTAAACAAAGGTGCGCCGGTGCGAAAGGGTTAAGTGCGAAGAACATGATATTTAATAAATAAAGGTAACACACAAAACGTTAAAAAAAAAAGGTCCCTTTTGGATGTAATTTAAAATCTGAAAACTTTCAGATTTTGTTTAACTTTAAACGTTGCTTGGTGGAAATTTTTCGTTACAGCCAGATACTAATGGATTATTTAACTGAGTATTGAAATTTAAAAAAAAAAAAAGAAAAGATTGCTTATAAAACACCAGGATATGTATTAATGCCAATTTTTATAAAACTAAAATCAAACAAAAGGTCTTCTCATTATTTCAATTTGTGAGGGAGCTTTACCTTGAATGTTTTTATTATTATTCCCATATGATTTACTTTAATTACTATATACTATTTATTTTTGTTATAACATATAATTAATATTTTTTATTTATAATTTTGAATGTAAAATTATCTTTTTATTTTAAATATCAAATCATTACATTTTGTGAAGGATAAAGCCAAAAGTTAACAAGACAGTTTTTAGAACTGTTTAAAATTTATACTTTACAAACAGAAAATATGATTTTATAATACCCAAATTTGTGAGACATTTGTTAGAATTAATTATACATACTACTGCTTTGGACCAAAGAAGAACTAAATCACCTTAATGGTTATTATCATTTGATAAACAGTCTTTTAAAGATTGTGAGAATGTTGAAAGGTTAGGTCATTGGAATACAGCAAAGCATATGATGGCTGTCTCCTTAAGGGGAGGGATGCCTTCTCGGAGGACTTTTTGAGAGAAACTGGTTCATATACATGGTACACATTGGAAAATCAACAAAACCAACCATGCAGCCAGCCTGTTCGTCTAGGTCCGAACCCAGGTCAGACTCCCAGTATTCATCAGTCTTAATAGTTCGGCCACTAGTGAAACCAAGTGTTAAAAGGAAAAATCCTCCCCCTCCCAAAAAGAAAAATGTATTTAGAATATTAGATTAGATCTCATAATCACTGCAGAGATGAAAATATTATTACTGCTGATTTTTGTGTAAAAGTATGATATAAAATACCTATCAGTAAATCTTAGATTTATCTCATACAAAATATTAAAATTTTGAATAGTAGCATTTTTTTATAAATGTTGAAAAATATGAAAGGAAAACTGAATTAATGTCTCATCTACATATAAAATTTTACTTCTAACTATTCAATTAAATTACTGTAAGATATATGAAAGTATCATGTAAAAAAAAATACAAAATTTAGGGCCTTTATGAAATCTAGATAAATGTAAGCAAAACATTTGCAATAAATCTCTCTCTCATTTTTTCCAGGATGTATATTATCTCAAGTTACTTTATATTGATTTTTTTTTTAAATCTAAATAAATGTAAGCAAAACATTTGCAATAAATCTCTCTCTTTTTTTTTTCCAGGATATACATTAAATGTCAAGTTACTGTATATTGATCTTTTTTTTTTTTTTTTTAGGTGTTTATCAGTTTTGCAAAAATGCAAGCAGATGTGACAGAAGGAGTTCCAACAGAGAGTATAGCTCGTCAAATTGTCCGAAATAAGAAGGGAAAGAGGATAAAGGGTTAGCATGAAAATGTTTCTTGAAACTAATCATCATTTTTTCTCACCAAAGGTGTTTGCATATTTCCACATATGTCAATACTAGGGATTGCAGTACCGGGATACCGAGTATCAGTATTTTGAGCCCTTTGTATAGTTTTGAAATACCGGTGTTCACAAGTTTAAATACCTCTCTTTTTTTTTTTTTTTTTTGTGTGTGTGTGTGTGTGTGTGTGTGTGTGTACTTATTAGAATTTTTTTAAATTGTCTCCACTATATGTTCAGGGGTCACCAACATAGCAAAATAGTACACTTTTTTGTTTTTATGTCCCTAACAGATGAAATTAATTAGACTGTGAATACAAAGTTGCATCGTACAGTCTAGAGAAGTAATACAATATGTGAATCATCCAAGGAGGCAGGCCAAAACTGTCCTGTCCTATTACAGCTCAGAGCGATACTGCACACTCACAGGATTCATAGTCTGATATTCATATCTGGAAAACAAGGTTGTAGTTGTGAAGAAAGTGTATAATATTTCGAAAAATTTCAATATTTTTTCAATTTGTGAGTTTGTTATTCACATTGTATTTGCATATCATACTTTAGGGTTCAAAATATTTTTCAGATTTATTACAGTCAAAAGTCGTTAATTCGGACACCCATAATCCGAAATGATCTATAATCCGGACCTCAAAGCTAAAAACTTTCTGCGCATGCGCCGCGTTGACACATGCGCATAGGCGTTTATGCGTGCGCATAAGACCTTTACGACTGCCCATATGTGTGTGTGCAAGCGCACAATATGTTTTCGCGTGCGCGTTTAATGTATAATGGACAGAATAAGCTAAAATGATCTAATTATCTATTTCAGTTAATGTTGATGATTGTGTTGTTCCTTAATCTTTGAATTGGATGCGGCTTATTATTTTTTGCAGACTGTAAGAGCAATTTTATAAAAGTAAACTTGAACTTTCGATTATGTCAAATAGAATTTCTGATGCTGGAGCTCCCAAAGGATCTACAAAACGAAAGTATGTTTCGATGTCCATCAAACAAAAAGTGGAATTGCTGCAAAATATGGATAAAGACATGAAGAAGGTGACAGAGAGGTTAGTGAAAACGAAAAAATTTCGATTGACAAGTTAGTCGGTATTCTCTGCACAGCAATTACGGGACTTGAACAGCGGAACTTTGTAACTGAACAAGAAATTATGTCTGTTTATAGAATTAAAGAGAAAGTATTATCACAAAAAATGAACAACTTGCTCATTTTTTGACAAATTTGAAAAATTTATTTCATAAATTACAGTTTCATATTTTTAATTTTAGAATTTATGCATGCCATCTTACGAGATTTAAACTGATGATCTATAATCCGGAATCGCCGAAGTCCCGACGAGTCTGGATTAACAACTTTTGACTGTATATACCCATAATTAATAAACCCATAATAATGAATAAGAATAACTTAACATAAAAAAATTCTTGATAATAATTCGGTTTGGTTTCATGATTTATATAATGAAAAGAATAAAAGAATATGGTAGGACAATATAAAAAATGTTCAAAAGTTATTGAAGTGAATGTAGGAATATACAAGCAAACTCCATACACGTTTAAAAACGAAACATGATACAAATTTGTTAAAGAGGAAAGAATCTAATTGCAATGAAGATACAAATTTAAGCTCAGTTTCTAAGCCCAAGCCATCAGGGATTTTAGATTATATTGGGAAAAAAAAAAAGATAATTGGATAAAATTATACGTAAAATGACAGCATTAGATGATTTGCCATTTTGAGTGTTTTGCACTTCTACTGAATTAAAATCACCATCCAACAGAGGTTTAAAAGTCAACATCGATTAACACTATAAGAAGAACTGTTTTTAAACTACAGTAACGATGTTCGCAATTCTTTGAAACATGAGTTAATACAATTAAAAGTAAATGGTGAAAAATTTAGTCTTACATCTGATGAATGGATAAGTCTAAGAAATAAACGCTACTTAAACATAAATATTCATTCAGAAAAACAATTTGGGAATATAGGACTTGCACATGTATGTCAGCCAAAACATGTGTGGGAAGGGCTTAAATCTAAGTTACAGGAGCATGGATTATCTCTAAAAGGGGCTTAAATCTAAGTTACAGGAGCATGGATTATCTCTAAAAGAAGATATTATATCCATAACGACTGATGGAGCAACGATTATGAAAAAAGTTTGAAAGTTCAGCAATTGTGCTATGCTCATGGAATTCAATTAGGAGTAATAGATTTATTATACCGAAAAATAAAGAACAGAAGGCCCCAAATATTGTAGATATAGACACTTCTAATTCTGACTTTGAAGAGAGCGTGAGAGTGATACTGACAAAGAAGATAATGACAATGTAATTGTTGAAGATGTTGCTAATGAGGAGGAATTCTCATCAAGAAATGCTTCCTTTATTTAACAAAGTTTGAAAAACTCTTAACTTTCTGAAGCCGGCTGGTACAGCAGTTGTACCAGAAGAATGATTTTCTCAGACGCCGGCATTGGTACAACTGTCGTACCATCCATGCCCTCCCCATTTTAGAGAATCTCCTATCTGTAGATCTCTGGGTGGTCCATTGTCGCTGCTGAGAGTAGCCGCTGGCTATGCGTTATTTCCCTCTTCTTATCAGTTTGGCTACATTTTGACAAAAACCGCAGGTTTCGTCTCGTGCCAATATACTTGAAAATCAAATAGAGGCCATCTCTTTCTCAATCTGTCTCATAATTTTAATGCTAATTTTTTAGTACTGACTTTTGCTATGATTAAAACGTCAGCGATTTTGCACGCTCTTTAAGCTTACCATATTTAATGTTTTTTAATCATAACAAATAAGAATAGATTAATATTTTAGATTTAATGCCCTTCTAGAAAATAGGTAAAACCGCTTTTATCGTTTACTTCCTTTTCATACTTATGAATAATAAGATTTTATTTTGACATTTTTTTGTGGAGTGCTATTTGTGGAGTGCGAACGCTATCTGCTTAAGGGGATGGATGCTTTCGTGTAAACCTTTTTAAGAGAAAATTGCTCGCATTTACGTTCCTGGTGGAAAACTCCACATGTAATCAGCCCGTTCTTTGGGTTTGATTAGATTAATTTTGTTCGCTTACTGAATTACATCAAAGCACACAACAATTACCTGTATAAGGGGAGTTATGCCTTCGCGGAGGGCTTTCTAAGAGAAGCTGGCTTACATTTACATTACACAAAAACCATGAATCCAACTATTTAGCCGGGATTCAAACCCAAGCGAGCTACAAGTGTTCAGCCACCTTTACCGCTCTACTAAAGAGCCCATAAAAATATTGATAAAGGAAAAGTATTGAAATAACCGGTTTAATTAACTAACCTATATTTCTCAATCGACAGTACATAAATTACACATATGAGGGGGATTATTTGTGAATAAATAAACTGTATTGCACTTTTCTCCACTATTTCATATTACAATGGAATTATTGCATTTCAAAGTTATTTCTCGTGAATTAATTTTGCTCCGTTCATGATTTTTGATAGTTTCAAAGAGAAAATTCCACACTTTAAATAAAAAAATACACAAGAAGATACTTTATGCAAAATTTGGCGTAAACGGTTTTCTTAATTTTGCTTTGAAAATATTCCAGGGTAATCGTTTTCATTACTGGAAGAAATATGAAAAACAGATTTACTACATTGTATCAACACCCAGTATGTCCTTATTCTTTTGAAAACGTGAAAGATTACTCTTTCTAAAATAAATTAGAAAATATATTAAGTGCAAATAGAATATTCGTTGATAATGAAATAGATTTCAACCTTTGGATATAACGATGGTTTTAGACGAAATTTCTACGTATGAAAAGAAATTGACGTACAATTAATTCTTCATGAACATTTAAAACTGTTCTCAAAATTCTTTTAATGATTGCATGTATAGGTCACGGATTTTTTTCTCTGCTAACATAAACAAAAGCCAATTTTACAAAGAAGGCAAAGATATACCTTCTTTGCCTGATAGTTCAATGTAATGTTTGTTAAAGTTAAATGATTAAACGCAACCAATGTATCTAGGATTTTGATTTTTATATTATAATAACAAAATTATCGAAAAAAGCAGATTTAAATCTCTTTATTGTTATGTAAAGCTTTATTATTGCTGTAAGTTCATCTCAAAATCTAGTTGTATTGAATCTCATTCTGATCATCTAATGGTAATAAATATTATTATTATTATTATTATTTCATTAAATTAGTCATTACCATTATTTTATTAATGAAAATTATGTTATTAAAAATCGCATTTCCACTTGCAGACTTACAAATCTAGTTCCGTATTTATTATATTTTGTAAAAATGTTGTCGTTTTTCTAATTTCTAATACGAAAATACGCGAATATAAATGAAGTGTGAAAACAATGAAGTGTAAAAAATTCACAAATTATTTACGAGGATTGAGTCAGAAATAGTAAAGTGAAATATAAACATTGCATACATTTTGTTCTAAATAAATTGTGCACTGGATATGCATCCAGTACTGCATATTTATTTATGCACTATTTATTTAGAACTTCATTTAAATGAAGCAAAATAATCATCGAAAAAATTGCAAATCTAGCAACCCCTCTACTATGGGACGTAAGCGTGTCGACAAATATGTAAATTTTACTTCATCCATGGAGGGGGACTAACGACTTTTCTTATTAGGAAAATGTCAAAGAGGGGGCAAAACTGTTTTGGATCGCGCCGGTCTGAAGGCTATATTATGAGAATTTCGGCCCGGTTTTAGAAGGTTAAGATATTTAGACATTCCCCTACAAAAAAAAAAAAAAAAAAAAAAAAATCCCTTATTACAAAAATATTTACTAACTAAAATAAAACAGAACATATGTTAATATTAGATTCTAAAACACATTGGAACAGTTTACTCCTAATGATGGAATGATTTTTGAAACTGAAAAATCCAATCCAAAAAGCAATAAAAGTCAAAGCAATAATCGACTTAAACTGCAAATTAATTTTTCAGATAGTGAATTCGAAATAGTATCCAGAACTGTATCAGCTCTCTTTCCAATAAAACTGGCTGTAGAGGCATTATGTTGGAGAGAATCTAATTTAATAACAGCTAATGCAACAATGAATTTCATGTTGCAGTCACTGAAAGAACAGCAGAATCTGAAGAATTATATATTACATTGAAGAATCGCACAGAAGAAAAGCATACCGAAATAGAAAATGTCTTATTTACATAATTAGTATGATTTTAAAAATGAAAATGAAAAAGAAGAAAAGAGACTAACAAAATCATATTTGATCAGGTTTATAGTAAATTTTCTTACAATTTTTTACCCACAAACCTGTGCACATTCAGAAGAATTTGGTACAGTTATTGAAGGTGATAATGACACTAATGTTGATATCGATAGTGAAAAGGAAAAGATAGGGATCCAGAGGTAAACACTTGGAAAAAGTATATTGCGCATTGCAGTACCACCAACTAGTGTAGATATTGAAAAAGCATTTTCGACGGCTGGTAATTTTTGCACAAAGTTATGTTCCAGGCTTAATGACAGTACAATTGATGCAGATCATATTTCAAAAATTTGTAATAGTACCAGAGACTGAATAGTGATATTTACACTTTTTTTTGTGATTTAAATACATCAGATTTTCCTTGTTTCTTTACTTTTTTGTGATTTAAATAGATCAGATTTTCCTTGTTTCTCTACTTTTTTGTGATTCTTTATATACTGTTATAATTTATAAGTTGCAAATGATTTTTTGTAATAGTTACTCTCTCTAATAAAACTGTCTGTTTTCTTCCTTTTTCTAAAATTCCTACTGTCAGTATTGAACTTTTGGTTTGAAATTACAATCCCTACTCAATACAGTCGAATACCGAAAATCCGCCAACCTGAAATCCACGTTGCCTCTCAAAATATAAACATTCAGTTTATAGGTTCCAGAAACCGCAACATGGAGAATGAAATATGGAAGAAAAAATACCGAATAATAACGACTCATAACGGAAATACCAAATTATTGACATGATGGGGTAAAAGTTTTTTCTCCTCCAATCTCTATCGAGGTAAAAAATAAATCAGAGTTTCTGAAAAAAATTCTTTCAGGTGACCATTCTATTTCACTTTGTAATTATTAAAAAAAAAAAAAAAAAAAAACCACCATTAACGACTGTATTTATTTGTTAGCAAAATCGTGGAATTCTGTTTCCCAAACAACATTAGTAAATGCCTGGCGTAATGTATGGCCATCTTCTCTGTTTATTGAAACTGAGAATGATGACAGTGAGTTTTTTAGGCTCAGTGCAGCAAGAATTAAAGCAAAAGAATTGTTTTTATATTCAAAAGAAAGAATATATGAGGAGTTTTACAAGAAGATGTCATTGAATGTATGTTGTGTTCAGATGAGCCAACACTGACATACCAGATGACCGATAATGAACTAATCATGGCTCTCTTTTGAACTCATCACAAGAAGAAAAGAATTCCGACTTTGACACAGATATTGAATCTGACATAATTTTTTGTCTTATTTATTTTGCAATTTTAGTCAGAATATTATGATTTATCTTTTCTGACCTGAAATCTGAAAAATCCTAAAATCCGCGCAACCTCTGGGATTTTTAGAGATTTCTTAATACTTGAGGAACATAACTTTGTGCTGTTTAAAATAAGCGAAAAGTAGTTCAACATATAATTTAACCCAATAAGTAAAATAAATTAAACTTTCATAATGGTATTATTGCACCATATTTTTGTATTAAATGTATAAAATTATTTAATTACTTATACCTAATTTAATAACTACTTCATTACCTTTCATGATGGAAAAGTCAGGGCAATTAAAAATTAAATTTTAACAGAAATTATGTGTTATTAGATGAAAGCTTTTCTAGTTTTATTGTGCAGCATGATGTTTTTGATGCAATTTTGTATAAAATCATGCATATAGCAGTGCTGTTCATTTTCATCATAATTTTTCCAGTTTCATTTTTGAGGTATAATTCCAGTAACATATATATAGTTAAAAAAGTGTTTACATTTTGTCATCAAGAACATATTACTTCCTTTATTTGACTAATGGAATAAAAAGATTTAAAAGATAAATTTTGAAATTTGTTGCATGGAATATAATAAATTATTGTTTTCGAAAATGATATATACAAAATTAAGACATATCTCGTTTTTTGCTAAAACAAGCTTAACTAATGTAAAGAGTGATTGTTGTACTACAAAAATGCAGAATGCTTTAATATGTTATAACTATACTTATTTCTATTTTTAACTGACAAAAATAATTGTCACTTTTTTTTTTCTTTTATTATTATGCCATTCGAATTGCAACCCTTTTAATTTGAATAAAAATGCTATTTAAATTTAGTATACTGATTCAGAATACAACAACGTTGTGTATACAACAAGGCTGAATGAGTATCATAAGTGTTGTTGTGGTACTTATAAGACCATAAGTGACTACCAAACCATAAGTGTTGTCCAGATGACCATAAGTGAGTAGGTAACTGATGACCCCCATCCTTCATGGTCATGTTGAGTTTAATTTCATTTTAATAATATAATTTTAAATATGCATAGTTTATAGTGTATTGAACTTATAATATTTATTAGCACCTGCAGCATTATATTGATTAATAAAAAATATTTCAAATGCTTCATACGTTCTTTATGTGGCATAGAATCCTTACTTAACCATTATAAGTATATAATATCCAAAATTTCATTGATTGGTTACATAATATCTAAAATTCCTTTAATTTTATTCCCAGAGAAAAAATAAACAATAATGTGTTCATTTTAATTTTTTTAACAATTCAGAACACATTATTATGAAACTATAAATTAAAAAGAAAGAAAGAAAACTGTTATTTATTTATAATAAATTTATAAAATGCTTTAGAAATTGTATTTTTTAGGAAGTTATGAAATATAACTCTTATTAAATAGTGAAGAATGTGTATGTCCATGCATGCGTGGAAGAATGGGAAAAGACTAACACATAATCCAAGCAGTTTCTTATTTCTGTATTTTTCTTTTAGATGGCAATGAAAATGGTGCTGCTGTTACTGGCGATATAGAGTTGCTGGTCCGACATTCATATGCGTCTAGTAACAATCAATCATTTGCTACACATATGGTTTGAAAATAAAACTCTGTTTCTCACACATTACAGAAACCTGCCAAAAAGCTCATTTTCATGAACTTGTATTATATACTCAAGTGAAACCAAGTTGCAACCCTTGTTGTATTCTGAATGAAAGCAAATCCATGTTTCCTTTAACGTTCGTCAAAGCAGTAACTTCAATATTTTCTATTTATTATAGCTGTGATATATGTTAAATTTTGTGTGTGTTTAAGCGTCTTCATGTATTATATATATATACACACATGTACTGTCTGCGTACATTGATTGTCCATGTGTATTTGCATATGCACCAGCAATTTTTTTACAAGATTTTGTCCTTGACTACCAAAGAAAATCATTTCATAGTAAATAGACTCAGGGTTAAGTGAAGATTTTCTTAATACCATTTCCAAATGGCGATGCCACAATTGTGCACATCAAAGTAGTTTACAGTGCAGAGTTTTTTTTTTTTAATTTCAATAATAAAGTATTTATTCAAGGTTCTATATTTCAGTATCATCCTATCTCTTTTTCATTTTAATGTTCAATAGAATTTGAAGCTGCAATTTTATGCATATCTTAAATTGCTTCTACTGAAATTTCTGTATTTTATGAGGATATTATAGTACATCAAAATATTATTCCTGACATGTTTTTAATCTTCTGATTGGCATGACTACTTGGATCTGCTCTTGAAGAACTGTATTTAAACAGTATTTATTAGTTAAGTTTATATAATTAATTACTTTAGCCTGTGTTTTCATAAACTTCTATTCATTAAAATAAGATTTAGATCATCAGAGTAAATAAGAAAACAAAATATTTTAAATAAGTAGGTAGTATATACCAAATAACAAAAAAAAAAAAAAAAAAAAAATCTCATGATCAGAATAAGGGCAGTCGTGTCATTCGGGAGGTTAATCTGTATTTCAAAGAATCTGATTGTTGCAAGAGCTGTTAAAGTAATTTTAAAACAAGGCAAAATGACTGCTAAATATAAAAATATCACAATTTTATTCTAAAAAGAGAGAAAATTTAATCATAGAAGCAAATGAATTATTATGAGATTTAAACTTTGTGAAAATTTCACAGCTGTTGTTGTGATAAAATTAAAAAAAGAAAAAGGTCAATTTAGATCAAAGGTAATTTTTCAGAAGCTTATTAATTTGGCTGCATTGCATTACATTAAATAGCATAAAATTAATGAAAAAGAGATTGTATGTGATATTGAATTTGAAAATGAGAGTTAGTTGAATGTGGTTTAATTAAATAAGATGAACCTGTGTTATTAAGGCTAAAATCAGATTATGAGTGATGTTTAAAAGAAAACAACATTTGAAATAAAATTATAATTGCAACAGTCACAAAACTGTGTCAGAATAAAAGTTCTGAAACAGAAAAAAATATTTAGAATTGATTCCGATTTTTTAGAAGACATTGAAATGAACTGAACTTGTAGATTTCAGAAAATACCAATTGTGTTGCTAGTATATTTGCTTCTGCATTTTGAGCTGACTTCAAACTCATTCAAAGTTGCATTTGTGTGTGCAACACAAAGAAAATTCATTTAGTGAATTTTAAGTTCAATTATGTAAAGAAAAATTTTCAACACATTCATAATATTCTTGTTTGGGATATCTCTTTTCAAAACCTGTATATATTTATTTGCAAGCAGACTCCCTCCCTCCATATGAAGCATGGAAAAAGTGGGCTTCATACAGAAAAAAAAATTAGCAAAAATTTTAAATAAAAAAAAAAACTGTAATCGCAAATCTCAGAAAAACATCTCAGATATACTTGTCAAAATTACCACCATGAGCTCTGAAAGTTTGCATACCCATGATGTAGATGGTGATATTAATAAATTAATTAAATCAAAATCTGTGTGTATAATAAAAAAGCAAAATAAATTAATAAAATCAAAACAGTAAGTTTTAATTACTGTTCTAAAATAAGTTTCAAAAACCAATTTATAACCTTTTGATTTATTCATCTCTGTTATTAAATAATGAATAATTTATATGTATGATCCTTGTGCTGTGGAGAAACAGACACCTAGATCCACCAAATTTTGAACATAATCTTACCCAAACATCTGCATCACTAAAGTCCAAATTTTGAATTTGTTTTTTATGTTTTATGTAACTTTATGAAACTATGATTAACAAACTGAACAATTTAAATGTTACTCGGCAAAGCATAAGATATTCATCTTTTAATTGTAATCAACAAACTCAGCGACAATTTTAGACAAAATGTCTTGCCACATCCCAAAATAAAATATTTTTAGCTTCCCATGTACCAGTTTATTTCTGTTTGCCTGAGTTTCTGTTGGCCATATTTAATTTTTCTTTCAAATTTAATCTATTATTGATTACCAAACTAAGCGATTGAAAAGCAATAAATACAGTTTTTCATCTCTATTATTATTAATTACTAGCTGGACTCACTAAAATTATTATTTATTTTTCCTTTTTTATTGTTACTAATTTAGGCGGCTGGCCATGCAAATGGTTAGTTATTATAAATTTATAGATTTAAAATTTCAAATGTAGGATGGTAAAAATATATTATCCACATGGATTAGTTGGTAATAGCAAATTATAAGTTTAGAATGGACATCAAATTAATTGCATGTAAATAGAGTTGTCCGACATATGGCCTGCAAGCCACAGTCCAACTCACCAAAGATTAGAATCTGATTTCTGACTACTAATTACAGTTTCATAAAATTCCAAGATAAAAATAAAATTTACAAAGTAAGGAAAAAATGTCTTTAAAACAATGAAAATCAGGAGAATCATTCCTTGAATTTTTAGTTTTTGTTGAATTAATTTTTACTTTATGGGAATCAAACTTTTTGTATTTTATTTTTTATAATAAGTAAAAAATTTTCCTGGATATAACTATAGGGACTAGGAAACTGTATAAAAAAATTAGATTTTTTAATTATAACAAAGTTTATTTTTAAATTTTAAAATGTCAAAACATGATTCTGTTTCAATCATTTTAAATATGTTTGTAATTGGAAATATATGTACATCTCCAATGGTTGCAAAAATAAAGGCTATAAAATGACTTTTATTGCTAAAGTTTATATTGTGGAAAGTAAAGTTATAAGTTGATGTATAATTTTGTAATGTTTAATTTTCTTTTTCTTTTCTGATGCTTTTATTTTACTGTTTTACTGAACACAAGTAACCTAGGATATGCGATTTATTTATGTAACCTAGGATATGTGAATAATTTTTAAGCGACATTTTACACAAAATGGTTGGACAGCCCTAATTTAGACCACTTACTTTGATGCTTAAATGTATGTATAGCCACATTCATAAAATTCATGTCACCTGTTTTATTTTTAACTTTGTTTTCTTGTTAAATTGTTAACAAATATTTCTGAGAGAAATTCAAGAAGCATATATACCTGACATAAAAAGTGCAAATTTTGTTCTCTGTAGATTTTAGGTTTCAAATTTTATTAATAATTTTATGATTACAAATTGCGATTTTTACATCTTTGTTCATCACATGTTCTTTCTTCTATTGTAATAAGATTATTTTTTATTATATAATTATTCTTTTGCATTACAAACTATTTTGTTTATTTAATTAGTTTTTTTATTAATATTACACTGTGTATTAATTTTTTTCATAATTAGGTAATGCAAGTTGTTTGCTCTAATGTATTAATTTTATGTATTTAAGACCATTATTACAGTATTTTATTATATTATTTGATTGTATTTCATTATTGTTTCTTTAGTATGGATGGCAGAATAAAATAATACTTAATTCCCCACCCCTAGATATTTAACATATCTTTGAAAAATTACAAATTTAAAGCATCCTAAAACTCTTAATACTAAACTCATCTTGTAACAATCGAGAAATTGCTACTAATTTAGGTATGTTAAATATTAATTCATATAAATTTTGATTCTAAAATTATTCATGAAGTAAAATTTTACTATATTAATTTCATGCCCTTTGATGTGATTTTTTTTAATTTAATCAGCAGTAATAAATTATTTTATTGTAAATCTTGTTAATTTTTTTCTTCTTTTATTCTACATTTTTTATTCTTCCTTTTTCTTCAAAATTTTTACATTTTTATGGCATTAATGAAAAGGAAGACAAGTAATTATTGTATTAAAAATCTGAAGAAATACAAGTTAAAAACATTGTAGTTGAATTTCATGACAAATGTTAGATCATTGGATCATATATCAGTTTTCTCATTTAGTAATGCCATTTATATATCTTTACGAAACTTGCTGCTAAACCTGTAACTAATTTCTGGGAAGATTTCTAAATATAATAAATTTTAAAAATTCTTTAAAAATATTTTTCTATAAAACATTAATTCTAAATTATAGCTAACTTGGAATCGACAGATGTTTATCTTTTTAATTGAAGGTATGTGATTCATAAATATGGTAGCTTATGAAATTATCAGTAAAAGTCTACTGACAATCACTGTAGATGTATCGTTCTTTTCTACTGTACTGGTAAAGGAATGTGATAATAATAATTAATAAATTTTGAAAACTAACTTCAGTTGTTTGTAAAATAGAATGTAAGCAGCTAAAAGCAATGTGCAAGTGCATTTTCAAACAAGACAAAGAGTTTTAGTTGAGATTGCTCAGAACAGTAAGAAACATTTTTGCATATAGTTAATCGATGTATGTTGTTGACTGTGATGCTAAAATTTCTATTTCTTATTTGAGGGGAAGAGTTTTGAAAATGAGTAACATCTCTTAAGGTTCAAAACCAGTCATTCAAAATGTAATATAAAATTATTTTTTATTATTATTTTACAAAACATATTTCAAAATGCAGATTAGTAAGTCACTATTCTTCATAATTATTGTTTGTATTAAAAACTGTGAAAAAATTCACTAAATTTTGAATAATTATCACCAAGCAAGCATTTAGTAAAATTATCACTGAAATGCAATAATTATTGAGTAAATTATAATACTAGCACAATTTTTAGCTTGTGCAATTATGCATATCTGTCTGAAAAATTGTATTGACCATTTTTCTTCAGTAATGCTTATAAGTAGGTTGAAAGTGAATAACTTTTTATCTATATTTATAAGTATTTAATTATCAGAACTTTGGTATTTATAAAATATATTGTAAAATTTCAATAACTGTTAATCTATCGATTTTATTTTGGCATCACTTAATAAATACAAAATATTACTTTTTAAATTACATACTTTCATCTTAGTATCTTGTAATATAAAGTAACAGTATAGTTTTTATTCAAGAAATGATATACTGAATGGAATGGAATATAAGTCAACATTAATTTTAAAAATAATTTTTTCTCTTTTGAAAATGTGATCATCTTTTTATCACAATTTACATTGTTCTTAGCCTTTCATATCTTGGTATGAAAGTAATAAATTTCTGAAAATATGGTATTAAAATATGGCAATAAAAATTAGAATTTAATGTGTCAGTTTTCAGTTGATATTTTTTAGTGATCAGTTAAATTTAACTACTTAATAGATGCTCGTATCTTTAAATAGAGAAAATTATTGCCTAGTAATCAGCTATTTGCTTGCCATTTTTATTGTTTTATTTGTTTAGATCAGGGTTTCATAAACCTTTTTCAGTCGCGACCCCTTTTTATGACTGAGATTTTTTCGCAATCCACAGGACTCAATAATATTTTTAAAAATTTTGTGGCACCTTATAAGTGTTGCGCAAATCTGACACACGCGAGTGAAACTGTCAATTTTTTCACGTGTACTGTAATATACTATTGCAGTTTTAGGTCTTTAATTTCTAATTTTAAGACACAGAACAATGTGAAAATTTTAAATAAGTAACAGACTAATGACAGCATCACTGCAAAGCAGGAAAATGAACATTTCTATAATAAAAGAATGTTTGAACTTTTTTTTTTTTTTTTCTTTGTCTGTATTGTCTTATCTTTATATATTTTCAGATGCATTGTGTAAAAATATTTGGTAATTGTAAAATTATTATAATAAGTTAAAGAATTTTGGCAAAACTCTGGTGCGGGTCACGACCCACAGTTTAAGAAACCCTGGATTAGATTAACATTATTAAAAAAGTGTTTGAGATTTATTACAATAGATACATAGGAGAGTAATTTGCAAATCTGCTGTATTAATATGTGTAATGAAACTGACAGAAGAAATTAGATACCTAAGAATCACTTGCATTCTAACTTTTCCCATTTTATTGGGAGGCACACGGTTTTTATCACATCTCCTGGTTTCCCCCACTAGATCACTGAATCTCCCTTTTGTTTTAAACTTTTATTTAAGGAAATTAATTCAGAAAATTTTTCCAGCAATAAATGAAATTTACTGAATTATTATTATTTTTCAGTCGCACCGCAGCCTATTATAGGCCAAGGCCATCTCAGCAAGCTTCTTTCAATGAACCTGATACACTCACTTCCAAAAGTTAAGCACGAAGAAGTAAAATGCAAAAAAATCAACAAATACTGCTTTGATTGACACAAAATTCGGTAGGAAAGTAGCATATATATTTATGCATAAAACAAAATCAATAATTATATACAGAAATGAAAACAATATTAAATTTTTGTAAGTTATCAGATAATGACATACCGGAGACTTAAACAGAATTATGTATAAAGTGAAAATAAACAGCATAAAATGAAAAAAAGGACATTAATAGGGTATGTGATCCCCCCTCATCTGTATACAAAGTTTACACCTTGTGACCATGCTTTCAATTAGGTGGTCAACCACCGCAGAATTAAGCAATCGCCATTCTTCTTGTAGAGCAGTTTCCAGCTCAATAAGAGTGGCTGGAGGTGGGAAACGTGAAGATACAGCACGGCCGAGAGCATCCCAAAGATTTTCAATGGGATTAAGGTTGGGGCGAATATGCTGGCCACGCCATACGCGCAATCCCTTCACTCTCCAGGTAGTCATCGACGATGTCAGCTCTATGGAGACGTGCGTTATCGTCCATTAAAACAAAAGTAGGGCCAACTGCTGCAGCGTACAATCTCACAATGGGTTCTAGGACTTCATCTCGATACCGGACAGCCACGTCAAAGAACCCGTTTAAAGATGTGCAGGCAGTGCGGTATCCTAATGAAATCCCTGCCCACACCATAATGCTTCCGCCTCGGAATGCATGATGTTCGGTGACGTTTTAGGACTGATTGCATGTTCATTGTTTACGCCATATCCTTACACGCTTGCCATCTGGCTCCAGAGCAAATCTTGACTCATTGGTAAACACGGCATTGCCCCAGTAAGACACGTTCCAACTGACATGTTCCCTGCACCACTGTAATCGTGCCCCTCTTGATTGGACAAATAGAGGAACACAAACTCGAGATACCCGGGCGTACAGTCCACTCATATGTAATCTTCAGCCTACAGTAGCTGCAGATATCGCCTTACCAATCGACGTTGTAACCATACATATCACACATGTGGAGGTCGCTCTGCGATTCCAAAAATCTTCCGAAAATTTTTCGATCCGAAAATTTGTCTAACATAGTGAACTTGATTAATAATGATGATTTTAAATCCCACATTTAAGAAGGTGATATCTCGATAGTTGTATTTGCTGAATTAATGAAACTTAAATTGTGTGAATTTCAATCTCCCTATATCCCTAATGACTTTCAGCATAATTTTTCTTATCAAATTATATTTGATCCGAGTTGTTTTAATATGGATACAAGCCAATTTTCTTAAAAAATCGTCTACAACAGTATCCCTTGTCATAGGCGATAACTTTCTTAATCAATTAACCTCACCTAACTGAATTGTTTTCATGTATTGAAGACATTTGTAGAACATTTTATGAAAATTCAACAAATGTTTGATCAGTTAGTATTTGTATATAATTTTGTTTTACATGAATCAGTGGTCCATTACTAAGTATATCCACACTGTAATAGGTACATTAATTATTCTTTTTTTTTTTTTTATCTTATTCAAAATACTTTGAAAAAATAAAATCCTTTCATCCCTACTCAAGATTTTCTTGGTATAAAAGTTAAGAAAATTTTAAAATGGAATTAACCAAAGGGGAAAAAATTTAGAATATTTAATTACATATCAATATATTTTACACCAGTATCATAATATAAATAGTTCAATAATCTGAATCTACATTTTAAATTAAATTAATGTCAGTTTGGAGATCTTATGAAATGGCTTCGCTGCACAGCACAAAAATCTCCCAGAATGTCCTTTTTATTTCAAAGTTCAAGTTATGATTGTATAATAAAAGAGTACAAGAACAGCCCTCAACAATTTTGTATAGAACAAGAGCCATGATTGAGCTGGATGTTTAAACAATATGTGTATAAAGATTTTTCATTCATGTGTGTGTTATATTGATTTTTTTAAAAAAAGAAATATACAATTAATTGCATGATTTGTATTTATATGTCATAAAGGTAGTTTCTCACATCATAAATATTTAGAATAATCTAACTTTCTACATTGCATATTATTTTTTTAATATTTTTGTGTAATTATAGGTTAGTCTTAATATTACAAAATGAATGGGAGCAAGTAGCTCCAACTTACATAGATATGCATAAAATTTCAGCTCATTGTTTCACACTTTGTACATTCTAAACTATCAGTAATTTACTATGTAT